TGTATCTAACCCCGTGCTGTCCCTGCCCTGGGAGTGTTTGATGGGGGACAGTGTAGAGGGAGCTTTACTCTGTATCTAACCCCGTGCTGTCCCTGCCCTGGGAGTGTTTGATAGGGGGACAGTGTAGAGGGAGCTTTACTCTGTATCTAACCCCATGCTGTCCCTGCCCTGGGAGTGTTTGATGGGGGGACTGTGTAGAGGGAGCTTTACTCTGTATCTAACCCCGTGCTGTCACTGTCCTGGAAGTGTATGATGGGGGAAGAGTGTAGATGGAGCTTTACTTCCAGTTTAAAAGGGTAGATGGAGCTTTGCTCAGTATCTAATCCCGTGCTATTCCTGTCCTGGGAGTGTTTAATGGGGACAGTGTAGAGGGAGTTTTACTCAGTATCTAGCCCCATGGACAGTCTGATGATTTTAGACATTCCCTTACCCGACAAAACGGAGAAAATGGCTGCAAAGGCGTTGAGTTTGAGGCCACAGGTGGGGTTGCTAGATAAGCAGAAGTCTAACCCCATCAGCAGGAAACTAAAGGAGAGCAGGCCAACATGGAGCACCTCAGAGACTAGCGACAGCCACAGGATACCTGTTACACAGCACAGAGAGAGAGTGGATTAGAGAGTCAGTCAGCGTCAGTCACATTGTGGGATCCGGTGCACATTCAAGAGACAAGGAGCAAGTGACAGGCAAGACAAATTAATGAGTGATGACAGACAGAAAGATCGTAAAATATAGATGAACCAGAGAAAATCTGAAAGGCAGCAAGAAAATTATAGACGCAGACAGAGAGGAATATGAAATGACTCACAAATAACAAGGAGCGTGTGTGAGAGACAGATAGAGGCCTGACAGCACAAACTAGGCCCAGGGAGAGACCAGCAAGTGCAGGCCTGTCAGTGATATGACCAAACCAGAAAATATAAGAGCAGGAGTAGGCCATTCAGCCCATTGCTCAATGAGATATAATGCTCCTGCTTTTCCCTGATAACCCCTGATTAAAAATCTATCTCTTGTTTAAAACAAGAAGGAAACATTTATAAGTCTTGCCTCTTGAGAAGATTGTGAAATCCGCGCTGTGCATCCTTGATCTCGAAGAGGTTTATGTTCGTTCCCAATGTCAGCTTTCGCAGATTTGTGCGTTGAATCCCGGGTTTCAGACAAGATCCACAAATAATTCTCCCCACACCCCCATTCCTGGCCCTTTGTCCTCCCTCCTCGCCCAACCCTCAGCTCTCACACTCTCTCCTCCCTCCTGCCTATCCCCATGACTGCCATCACCCTCAGTGTCCCTCATTCCCATCCCATACCCTGCTCTCAGTCACCCTCCCCCTCCCTCCTCCCCAACAACTCCCCATCACCCCATGACACTCCTCTACCAGATCCCAACGACCTGACACCCTCTCACCTTGCTGTGTGACGGGGGCCAAATCAATGAAGCTCCGGCACCTTTCCCCTGAGAGAAAAAAACAGGCAGTTATTGTATTTACATATTAACCTGGGGATGCAGGTTCAAACCCCATCATGGTGGTGGGCAGAGTTTGAAAATCCCATTAATAATTTGGGATTTTGGAAGCTACCTCAGTGATGGTGACCATGGCAACAACAATTAAAAACCCCATCAGGCCCCTTTAAGGAGGGAAATCTGCCATCCTTACCCAGTCTGGCCCTACACGTGACTCCAGACCCACAGCAATGGGATTGACTCATAACTGCCTCTCTGAACCTGTGACTTGAGACTATAATTACTGTTTCTTCAGTACACAGGGTTAAAAACCTAAGAGCTGCCCCAACCCTGATGCGCACACCAACATCAACTCACCTAACCTGCACACCCTTGGACTGCAGGAGGAAACCCACAGAGACATGGGGAGAATGTGCAAACTCTGCACAGACAGTCACAGAGGTTGGAATGGAACCCAGGTTCCCAGCACTGTGAGGCAGTGGTGCTAACCACTGATCCACCTCATAACAGCAGAGTAACCATGCCGAGAGTAAAGGGAAAGGCAGTTATCAGGATGGCTCACTGCAATGCCCTCAGTTGAGAATTGTCCACTTACAGCACCCTCATACAGAGAGAGATATTGACACTGAAACCTCCACATCGACCAGTGTTTGACCATTCAGTCCCCATGTCATTTCTCAGTTAGTGTTCATGGTGAGATTAAAATCTCAACATTCCTCTGATCTGATGTGGATTTGCAGCATTTTTTTTTGCCTTCATTTCCAATCTGCATTTTCATAATCTCTGCTTTGAACAGTGTGACCCAATTATTAATCTTCTCGTTTTCAAAGAAGCTGTTTTTTTCTATTAATTATGAAAGATAATGTCATCAAATAGTGTTATATGACAGGGTGAGGTGCACAGAAATCAAGAGGTTTGCTGAGGGGCTTCAATAAACAGGGGCTAGAAAGGAGCTTAAATGCCCCACCCCTCCGGGTGTCTTCCCTCATTGCATCCTCCACAAAGGTAAGCTGGAGTGCCACCTAATCCCCTTCACCATTGCCCCAGTACTATCACCTACACAGGCTCCTCCTTCAACAAGGCTCAATTTTGAAATTTTAATTTCAGATCCATGCTTTCACTTCCTCCTTGTAGCCTCACTCCTCCCTATCTCTCTGAGCTGGCCCAGCCTCACTAATCTATCCAATATCACTGCACCCAGATGGTCCTGACCCCTGACCATCATCGATCTCACTCACTCGGCTGTTTGTGACTGTACCTGCACTTACAGATCTATCTCCTGCACATCACACTCCTTCAAGCTGCTCCTTAAAACCAGCTTCTTCTGTTCAGCTGTATGAGTACTTCCTCATGTCACTGTGTGTCTAACTGTGTTTCGAATCCTCCAATAAAAGAGACTTTGGGTCGTTTCAGGGTGAGTTCAGGGTGTTTTGAAATACCAGTTATTGTTCACGAGTTCAAATCCCAGCCTTTCATCAACATTCACTCTGTCCGAGGGGAATCATTGAGGGACAAGACAGAAAGACAGTGCCACACCCTGTCTGGACACCGGAGCTGTCTGTAGGCCCTGTACAGACCCAGTGCCAGTCTGTACACCTTGTCTGGACCCAGTGCCAGCCTGTACACCTTGTCTGGACCCAGTGCCAGTCTGTACACCTTGTCTGGACCCAGTGCCAGCCTACACTATCTGGTGTTAGTGATTGGGTGGAATTGGAAGTGATTGGTGATTGCTGAGGTTAATGTGTGTTGGGGAGGGGGGTGGGAGACTGGGTAAAGGGTGACCCTGGTAAATGGTGACCTGGGGTCATGGATCTCACAGGAAAATATATTGTGACCATGTGGCATTGAGCTGAGGTCCATGAGCTACCTATCCCCGAGGCAGGGGATTCAAAGAGTCATAGAGCTGTACAGCACAGAAATAGACCCTTCGGTCCAACTTGTCCATGCCGATGAAATATCCCGAATTAATCCAGTCCCATTTGCTAGCATTTGGCCCATATCCCTATAAACCCTTCCTATTCATGTACCCATCCAGATGCCTTTTAAATGTTGTAATTGTACCAGCCTCCACCAGTTCCTCTCGCAGCTCATTCCATATACACACCACCCTCTGTGTGAAAAAGTTGCCCTTATGTCCAATTTAAATCTTTACCTTCTCACCTTAAACCTATGCCTTCTCGTTTTGGACTCACCTATCTCGGGGAAAAGACCTTGGCTATTCACCCTATCCGTGCCCCTGATGATTTTATCAACATCTATAAGGTCCCCCCTCGGCCTCTCGACACTCCAGGGAAAATAGCCCCAGCCTATTCAGCCTCTCCCTGTATCTCAAACCCTCCAACCCTGGCAACATCCTTGTAAATCTTTTCTGAACCCTTTCTAGTTTAACAACATCAGAGATAGTGTCTGACCAGTGAGAGGTCCACACGGATCGGAATTTTCAGACCTGTGCCAGTGATATTCTCCTCACAGGAAATCCAGATCCCGGTATGGAATGATCGGAAAATAAAGCGATCGTCTCCCATTTCCCAGTTATATTGGGTGTGTCTGGTGCTGCCATTAGAATCCATCTCCATGTCCAGGGGAACGGTGCAGCCTGTTGTCCTGAGTTTGGTACAGGTGGGTTTGGGTACTCTCTGTGTCCCAACACACCAGTATGTGCTGCTCAGAGCGGTGGCTGACAGACCCACAGCGAGAACGTTCAGCACGAGGGAGATTGTGTCTCGGTTGATGGACAAACAGCCCATCCCAAAGCCTGCTCCCTGCAGAACACAACCACAAAGACCCTGAGTGAGGACGCACAATACAACAGCCCTCCATCAAATCCATCAAATTAAACCAAACAACCAACTCTCAAAGGTGCAGCATTGAGTAAACATCAAGGTTTCAAATATCACTTCATCACATTCTCACTGTTGGAGGGTCAGTGCTGAGCGAGCGCCGCACTGTTGGAGGGTCAGTGCTGAGGGAGCACCGCGCTGTCGGAGGGTCAGTGCTGAGGGAACGGGTATTGTCGGAGGGTCAGTGCTGAGGAAGGGCCGCACTGTCAGAGGCTCAGTACTGAGGGAGGGTCAGTGGCATTCGTGACTCTCCATGATTTTACACGTTGGGAATGTGTGGAGGCTGTGGAATGCATTTGGTAGATTATTGAAAGCTGTGATTTTAAGATTCTGTACGATGGTAACAGTTTGTGTTATCCCTCACGAGAGACAGCGAGAGCATTAATCACATTTCTAGACAGCAATTAAACGCTTTGCAGACAATTATCTCACAGTGGACTCCGGAAATACAAGAATGTTGTTTAAAATAATGTTCAGCCTCACCTGTCAGAGGAGGATGGTGTTCAGTCTCTGTTGATTCTCCAATCAGTGACAAAATTCCCTTTCTGTCAGCACTGGCTTGGCATTGACCACAGTTTAATCCCAGATCATGCCTTCAATTTGATTCTAATCCTTTGTCCTGTAAAAGCAATCTCTCCTCGCTGATTGAAAACAGCTTTTTTTTTCAAATTCAACCTTGGGAGTAATGTTGGTATGTCCAGCATTTTTGAAAAAACCATTCTCATTCTTTCCCAACATGTGACCAAAGCTGGCTGAGGATTTATTGTCCATCCCTAATTACCCTGGAGAAGGTGGTGCTGAGCTGCCTTCTTGTACTGCGACACTCTGTGGGGTGTAGAGAACAATGTCCCTTAAGGGGGAAAGCTCCAGGATTCTGACCCAGTGACACTAAAGGAACGGCAATATATTTCCAGTCAGGGTGGTGAGTGGCTCGGAGGGGAACTTGCAGGGGGCAGTGTTCCCATGTATCTGCTGCCCTTGTCCTTCGAGATGGAAGTGGTCATGGGTTTGGAAGGTGCCGTCTAAGGTGCCTTGGGGTGTTATCACCCAATTGCCCCTTAACTGACTGGAACTCTTCAGAGGGTGGTTCAGAATCTGTTGCCGTGTAGGTATGAGACTGGAGTCACATACAAACATTTGCAGAACGGAAATGAAAACAAGATTCGACCCCTCTGGCTTGTTCCATTACGATTGGTGCTGATGTGTACCTCAGTTCTATTTAGGCCAATCCTCACTGTGCCCAGGGGAAACACATGTAGACACGGGGAGAACATGCAAAGTCCACATAGACAGTCACCCAAAGGTAGAATTGATCCTGGGTCCGTAACACTGTGAAGCAGCAGTGCTAAATACTGAGCCTCTGTGGGTAGGTAATGACCTAGTGGTATTATTGCTAGACTATTAATCCAGAAACCCAACTAATGCTCTGGTCTCAATGTGGACTTTACTAGTTTCAAAATCTCCCCACCCCCAACCTCATCCCATGACCAACCCTCCCTCTCATCCCCGCCTCCTTGACCTGACACAACCTGTCCATCTTCTCTCCCACCTATCAGCTCCTCCCCCCTCACTGACCAATCTCCACCACTGCCTACCTGCACTCACCTATCACCATTCCACCCACCTTCCCCAGCCTCACCCTTCCTCTCTCTATTTATTTCAGAGCCCCCTACCCCCTCCCCCATTTCTGAAGAAGGGTCCCGACCTGAAATGTCAGCTTTCCTGCTCCTCTGATGCTGCCCGGCCTCCTGTGTTCCTCCAGCTCCACACTGTGTTATCTCAGACTCCAGCATCGGCATTTCTTACTATCTCTAATGCTCTGGAGACATGTGTTTGAATCCCACTATGGCAGATGGTGGAATTTGAATTCAATTTAAAAAAAGTCTGGAATTAAGAATCTACTGATCACCATGAAATCATTGCCGATTGTCAGAAAAAACCCACCCGGTTCACTAATGTCTTCAGGGAAGGAAATCTGTCATCCTTACCTGGTCTGGGCTACATGTAACTCCAGACCCACAGCAATGTGGTTGACTCTCAATTGCCCTCTGAAATGGCCTGGCAAGCCACTCAGATACCAATCGCTACAAAGTCTTAAAGAAATGAAATCAGACGGATCATCTGGCATCGACCTAGGCACCAGAAAAGACAATGGCAGAAACAGCCCTGTCGATCCTGCAAAGTCCTCCTCACTACCATCTGGGGGTTTTTGCCAACATTGGGAGAGCTGTCTCACAGACTAGTCAAACAACAGCCTGACATAGTCATACTCACAGAATCATACCTTACAGACAATGTCCCAGACACCACCATCCCCATCCCTGGATATGTCCTGTCTCACCAGCAGGATAGACCCAGCAAAGGGGGTGGCTCAGTGGTATACAGTCAGGAGGGAGTTGCTCTGGGACTCCTCAACATTGAGTCTGGACCCCATGAAGTCTCATGGCTTCAGGTTAAACATGGGCAAAGAAACCTCCTGCTGATTACCACG